GGGGGGGGGGGATCAGGGGGTTTGTTTGACTGTCTCAGCTTCCCGTTTGATGCGTCAGTGTGTGAGTTAACTTCAAGAGACAGGCGTAAACAGGAACTCTTTAAACCTACAACACTGCTGATTGTGTGATGCATGGGAAACAACATTGACAGGTGTGTAAGTCCGATCTGACAGCGAGACTCACAACGAGTCACATCGCTCCATCTCCACGGGAACATTAAAGGAAAAGTGTGTTTTCTTTTAAAAGCCATCTGAGGCTCATTACACTTGTTTTGTCCGCCACTCCTATCAGATGTGATCACATTTTACAGTTTTACAGTAACGGAGGAACACGAGGCGTCCTTGTTGTTAGATGTTTGTCAGATTCACAAATATGGACGTCTTGGAAGAAGAAGCAGAGTCTTGAAGAAACAGTAACAAAAATGTATTCTTGGGTCCAATGAGACAGAAACGGTTAGTTTAGGAACTAGGGTTAGAATTAGGGTTTACACAGTGGGACATGTATTTGGAATAAGACAATAATGGAACAGCAAACACTTGGAGATCTTGAAATGAAGTCAAAAACCGTTCAGTAGCCCTTGGATTGAGCAAGGGGTGGATGAATGTTTAAACAAATGAATGTTTAAATGTTATTCTAATGTTATTTTGCGTTCAAACAGATATAACATTTAAATAACATGTTGTAGGCTGATCCCAGTATTTTAGGGTATTTTCAACAGAAATCAGTGATTTTATTTGGCAGTGTGAAAAACATTTGGGAAAACATTTACTTGTTAAGGCCAAGCGTTACATGGACACTAAGGTAAATATAGTTGCCTATACAAAGATGAAATAAGACTCTCAGGTGACCACGCTGGACATGTAATAAGATCATTTTCATGGCACAACAAGAATCTCATTATCTCCTCCTATCAGGAAGTCCTCTTACATTACATGTCACTTGTTAGACTCTTTTATCCAAAGTGACTTACATACTGTGAGCAATCCCCACAGGAGCAATTTGGGGTGAAGTGTCTTCAGGGACACAACGACATGCTGACTGCAGTGGGGTTTGAACCTGTGACCCCCTGATCCCAACACCAGCAAACAACCCACTGCGCCACACGCCTCTTAATTTCACAAAAGAAAACTGTGAGAGAAAACAGTAGCGAGTTAAGCCTTCATTTGAAGAATCTCTAACAGCCCTAGATAGTGTGTTTGGAGTCAGTGAGACTTCTCAGAGTAAATGTAGTGTGCAGTTAAATCTGGCAACAAGGCTCCGTGTACATTACCATAAACGTGTCTGGAAATGAGAATCTAATACAATCGCTGGCCGACTACCTGGCCATTCATCTCGGGAAACAAGACAAAAAAATGAGCCTAACTAATCAGATATGAAAGTCCCACGGTTGCCGGTTACAGTGCAGACACCTCCTGCATAAAGAATAACCCGAAGTAAGTGAGATTAAGTCTGCAGAAAAATGGGAGCGTGGATTTCCTTTTTAAACAGATGCACATGTGCGGCCAGGATCTCTGTATTCAGGTCAGTCTGTGCATTCAAAGCAAACACACACTATGTTCCTCAGCATCTGTAATGACCTCTCACACACACACACACACACACACACACACACACACACACACACACACACACACACACACACACACACACACACACACACACACACACGCACACACACACACACACACACACACACACACACTCGCACACAAACACACACACACACTATGTTCCTCAGCATCTGTAATGACCTCTCTCACACACACACAAACACACACACACACACACACACACACACACAC